TGTTATTATATATATTGAAGGGGAAGGGATGTATTCCTTTTTTTTAGGGTGTATCCATTTTTTGAGGGGGGAGGAGGGTGTATCCGTTTATTGAGGGGAAGGGGGTGCTTTCAATTTTTGAGGGGGAGGGGGGTGTATTCCAGTTTTGAGGGGGGAGGGGGTGCTTTCAATTATTTTTGAAGGGGGAAAGGGGGAGGGGGGATGTTTTAAATTTTTTGAGGCGGGGAGGGTGGTTTTCAGTGTTTTGAGGGGGGAAGGAGGGTTTTTCTTGTCTTTTGAGGGGAAGGGGAGGTGTTATCCTGTTTTAAGGGGGGAGGGGCTGTATCCAGTTTTTTGAGGGGGAAGGGGCGTGTATCCATTTTTTTTTTAATTTGAGGGGTTATTTTCAATTTTTGAGGGGGGGGAAGGTTTTTCAACTTTTGGTGGGGAGGGGTGTATCCATTTTTTGAGGGGAGGAGGGGGTGTATCCAGTTTTTTTTTGAGGGGGAAGGGCTGGGTGTTTTCAATCATTTTGAGGAGGGTTTTTAAGAGGGGAGGGGGGAGATGTTTTAAAATTTTGAAGGGGGGAAGGGGGGTTGCTCTGAATCTTTTGAGGGGGAAGGGGTGGGGTTATCCATTTAGGGGGAGGGGGGGTGTATCCTTTTTTTGAGGGGGGAAGGGGATGTTTATTTTTTTTGAGGGGGGGAAGGGGGTGTGCTCTCGGATGGTGGTGTATCCATTTTTTTTGGGGGAATGGGGGGATGTTTTTTAAATTTTTGAGGGGGGAGGGGTGTATCATTTTTTGAGGGGGAAGGTAATATTTTTCAATTTTTAGGGGGAGGGGGTGTATCCAGTTTTTTGAGGGTAGGGGGGATGTTTTAAATTTTTTTTGAGGGGGAGGGGGTGTATTCCAGTTCTTTGAAGGGGTTGAGGGGGTTTTATCATTTTTTGAGGGGGAAAAGGGGGTGTATCCAGTTTTTTGAGGGGTTAGGGGGGATGTTTTTCAATTTTTGAGGGGGAAGGGGTGTGTTTTCAATTTTGAGGGGGGGAGGGGGTGTTTCCTGTCTTTGAGGGGAAGGGGGGGAAGGGGATGTACGAATACGTATCGAATACTGGGTTAAAAATAATGATGTTTGTGACCTTATACTGTTACCGTCTTCAGGCTGACTGGTGTCTTGTGTCGATAGCGTGATAGATGTAAAGGTGAGTGTTAAAATCATGTCTTTTGTGGAAAGTATTTTCCGGAAAATGGTATACGGAAAAATATAAGATATGAAAAGAAGAAGGAAAATGAGGAAGAAGAAAGAAGATAAGAAGAAGATTAAGGAACATTATGAAAAACTAAGCAGAAAGAAGAAGAAGTAAGAAAAGAAGATTGAGATAAGAAAGTAAGGAAAAGAAAAGAAAATAAGATAAAAAAAGAAAACTGAAGAAGAAGAAGAAGAAGAAGAAAAGAAGATAAGATAAGAAACGTAAAAGAAAAAAGAAAAGGAAAGATAAGAAAGAAAGAAAATGAAAGATTAAGAAAAAAATTGAAAAAGAAAAGGAAAGATAAGAAAAGAAGAAGAAAACTGAAGAAGAAGAACAAGCACAAGAAAAAGAAAAAGAGAAAAAAAACAAAAATACAAAAAACACAAAAAATTCGCCTTTCCTTATTTATAGTCCCGTAGAGTAGCTTAGCTTCGAAAAGGCAATACATTCCCATAAAAAAAAAAAAAAAAAAAAAAAAAAAAATTCCAAAAGCAGGGCCATGTATGTAGAAGACGGTCCAGAGAAACAGAGGAATACCTGCCTCGCCCTGACGTCCAAGCACAAACACTTTCGAACTCTCTTACACAGACAATAAACCCAGAACTGGTTTCCTCCTGAAAATGTTTCCAGAGCTTTTGCGCGTCGGGAAAAAGAAGGGAGTGGAAGGGGAAGAGAGGAAAAGAGAGAGAAGGAGGGGAAAGAAAAAGAGGCAAGGAGGGAGGAGAGAAGGAAGAAGGAAGAAGGGAAAGAGGGAAAGAAAGAGAAGATGAGGGAGGAGAAGGAAGAGACAAGAGGAAAGGGTAAGGAGGGACGGAAGGTGAGGAGGAAAGGAGTGCGAAGGCGAAGAAGACGATGGAGGGAAGGAAAGAGGAAAAGGGAAAAGAAGGAGAAAGAGTTAAGGAGAGGGGACGGGAGAAAAAGGTTAAATAAAGAAGGGAAGGGAGAGGAAGAGAGAGAAAAGATAGACGGAGAGGGGAGGAGTGAGGAGGGAAAAAAAAAAAGGGTTAAGGAGGGACACCGAGAAGATAGGGGGAAGCAAGAAAGGGAGATGAGGAATGTACGGGAGGAACGAAGAAAAGAAAAAATAAACGAAAGGAAGAAGACGGACGGGAGAAGGGAGGGAAGGAGGGAGGAAGGAGGGAAAGAAAAAGTAAGAGGAATGGAGGAACAAAAATAAAAACAAATAAAAGAAAGGAGGGAAGAAAAAAGGTAGAGGGAATGGGACAGGAGGATAAGGGATGCGAGAGAAGAGGAGAGAGGGCAAGAGCGG